TAGCCAGCAACACCCTCACAGACACATTTAGATATAATATTTCATCTATACACTCTATAGTCACTTTGACACATAAAATTAATTATTACAGGTCCACCTCAGACCCATACACATTTCTTCAAACCACTCTTATTCGTGAGTAATAATAATAAGGTCCTAATTCCACTTTACTGGATACAACTACCATTCATACAAAACATACTGATCTCTGCTTCAAAAGAGGCAAAGTCTTTGATGATGTTTAATCTTCTTGTTATTTGATACCTTAAAGCCTATGATATAATGTTAACAATATACAATGCCATACTGTGGAACTCAATAAATCACACATTACATACTAAAAGAATGAGAGGAACAAAATACATAATATATAATCATTACGAAATGAACAAGAAATACTCAAGACATTTCAGTCCTGGTTTCTGTATTTATAACTACCATCTGCCCATCTTCCAGTGCCCATTCCATATTCCTTTGCCCTCAGCAAGCACCCAGACCTTCAGTCTTGAACAATCTTGGCCATTTCTAGTTCTGCTTGTATTGTAGTTTTCCACTGACCCCCACCACAGGGCATGGTAATACTAAGTGCCCAGCAGTCTCCTGTATTCCGGACGTAGTCTACCTTGTTAGTCAAGGTTTATCACCTCTGACAGTGCCATAACTGGCTTCTTCGCCTGTTGATTCAAAGGTGTGGGGAGCCCAAGGTGGCCTGCTGGCAGTTCTAATTCAAAGTCATGACGATCACTTTTGTATATCTTTATGGAATCACTCCTCTCTGGCCAGTAGTACTGCAGAAACAGGAAGCAAAATACGAAATCAGATATATTAATTGTATGGTCTTATGTTTCTTCATTCTTTTACTTATTGTAGTTTGAATTTTCTAGTTTTAAATACTGTGCCTATCCATCTTGCCTTCCATGAACTGTTAAAGTATACCATTGTTTCGGTTACTTTTGTCTCATTGTTGCTACAAAATACCTGACACCCAGAATGAAGGAAGGAAAGGTTTATTTAGCTCACAGTCTGTGGAGGTTTCAGTCCATACTCAGCTGGTTCCAAGGCAGAGTGGCACATGGCAGAGGGCAAACGTTCATGGCGGCAGAAAACAGCAAAGGCAGCAAGAGCAAAAAGGGAGGAGTGGTGGCAAGCAGCCTCTTTTTCTCCCTTACATGTGCAAAACTATCCGCCCCAGGGCGGTGTAGCTTTCACACCCATAGTCAAACCAACTCTAAAAGCCTGCCCCATGACTGCATGAGGATTTTGGGGGACATGCGGACACAAACCGTAACACCCATTTATTTAGTATCAGCCATTTCATCACTTTTACAGCTGGAGAGGGATTTTTCTTTTTCCTTTAATTTTCAATAAAATGGTTAACTCTGACTCCTGTGGAATTCAGGATAATATGTAGTATACGAAATGAAGAAATAACTCTTAATTGTTTCTATACTTGTATCACACTGACCCAACTCTACTTATTAAATAGTAATTTATTTCTCTACTGTTGGAGATTCATATAATCATTTTAATTGATTTTGCCAATCTCAATTATTTTTCATAGTCTGGTTTTATGGGCTTTGAATTACACTTAATGTATAATTATTACTTTGTCATTGTAATCTCTGATACAACAAATCATAGAGAGATGCATCAGATTTCTTCATTCTCTATTTCCTCTGACGTTGTCTTTTGCTACCTTTCAAACTGTCACCTTCTGAAGCCAACTCACGTGAGCAAGGAGGAGACGTTTAGGACCACATTTTATACCAATGAGCTCTATCAGTGTGATCGACATATTTCGTTGGCTTTTTTATCAATTTATGAAATCAACAAATGCAATAGATGGTTTCTAAGTTTCTTACACTGAGAAATCTCTCTGCCCATGAGTTTTATTTTTCTGAATTAACAAACTGTGATCGTTTGGGTGATCCCAGTGTCTGAGGACATATTTCCCTTGTGATGTGAAGATAACCACAGGCGTGGGGCTGGGGATTTAGCTCAGCGGCACAGCGCCTGCCTGGCACGTGCAACATTGTGAGTTCAATTCCCGGTACCGGAAGAAAACAAAACAAAACAAAACAAAAAACCGCAGGCATGCTGTCTTTTAGAAATCATCTCTAAAAGCCACCACAAACCCCACACCCAAATCTCCAACCCCCTCTTTCAGCTTCTCCTTTTTATCCCCTTCACACCTTGCACTACAGCTTCAGGCCCTGGAACATAGTAAGGGAAGATTAATTTGTTAATTGAGCTGAGCATGTCTGGGGCCAGAGTAGTGATCTTCACTGACCCGATATTCTCTTCTTCAGAGTGGAAGCAAGAACGAGTTTCTATACCCATGAGGTTTAAGGTTCTGGCACTATAGAAATCTGTCAGTGCTGCTTCTGGGAGGTAACTTCATCCTGACTGCAGCTCATGTGTTTGAAACTGGAGCGGATGCTAAAATGAGAACGGATGTTCCTCCTGATCCTGGTGACAGAATGAACACGTGTGGGATTCTTCGAATCCTCTGTGTAGTCCGTGCTGAACAGTGACATCGACACACAGATACAGAATTAGAAACTTAGAATATTTTCAGTCTCTGTCCAGAAGATCATGAAGGATATTCTAAAGTGTGAAGCTGAAAGGTGTTGCATCTTCAGACTGTAATTTATTGTTCACTGCAAATGATAAACTGGTTACTACTGTTACAGGAATATGTTGTGCGGAGACTCTGGGAACGGCACTTATCCAAACCACGATAACAGATAACATAGCACATACAAATGAAATTTCCCCGTCTAGCATGCTTCCTGATTGCACCTTAAAGAACAACATTTTGGAACATACATCTCAAATGAAGGTGGAGATACTTTACAACTGTAAACCATCCTTGCATAGCAGGGTCGTAGTCCATTAATTCTCAGAGCTTGAGGCACGACTGACAATTCATAAGTGGTAAATCCAGAGAGTTATGAAGATATTAAATCTCACATCTGGTGAGAAAATGTGTTATTTCACTGAGTTGATTGATGGACACTTTCCCATTACAGTGCAATTTGGGAAATCACACTCTTAATTGCCAGGGTTTTAGCAAAGCTCTGTAGTTCAACTCCAATTACTTTAGTTTTGAAAAGCAGAGCAGCTGGATGGTAAAATTGCTCAGAGCTGTCACTGAGGGAGGGCACAAGCGAACAGCCTGACCTCTCCCGTTCCTGACTCGGATTTTCGGCAGTTATTAGTTGGTGGAATTGAAGGCTCCTGACGCAGGAGGTCTCCTTGCCACGTGCTTTCTTCCGATTGGGAGCACGTGTGTTTGCTGTCTGTTCACATGGTCACCACCCTGGTCTTCAGATGCCCTCCCGCCGGTTATTACTCACTTGCTTCTCCCTTCTCAGGGAGGGGTGGAAAAAGACCAAATCTCATCACATGTTCTTCTCCTTATTAGAAGGTGATTATTTCTTGCTTTAGAACCCAGCAGTGCTTTAAGCCTTCTCATGGATTTCTTGTGCTGCTAGATTGACCTTTGGGGCCTCTCCCTCTGGGGTAAATTGTGTGTTTCCACATCCAATCCATTTGTCTCTAGCTAAATCTAGAAAGAGTGGCACCACTTGTGGTTTGGAAATTACCTGGTATTGGGGCAGAATGGAATCAAATTGGGTGATTCAACCCCTCATCCCATACCTACACTACTTCACTGAGCGGACCAGGTAACTATCAAATGTCTGCTTTGGTGAAGGATATGTGATAGAAATATTAGTAGCTTCTTCCTGGCTTAAGATAATTGTGAATATATATGGGACTTTCTTCAGGAGTGTCAGGATTTAGGACCCATAATGATAGGAGAGTGTCCTTCTGATAAAACATCACTGAAGACAAAGATAGGGAGTGATTTCCAAGAAAAGTGCTGCATTTGTGAGCAATAGGAAAGTTCAGCTATAAAGATGGAAACTTCAGAGGAAAAAAACAGTGTCTTTCATTTCTAGAATCTTAGTATTCAATATATATTTTTGATACTGTAAATTTAGACTAATATTTTTTCACATTCCTTCAAGTCAATACTCTTAAAATATGTTTTCAACGTATTCTGACAGGGCAGGCTGTGGGAAGTCAGATTTGGGCAGGGGACTTGCTGTAACAGAGGAAGGGACATTTCCTATCTTGGAGTTGTCCTGAGCAATGCAGTTGTGAACCTAGCCCAGCATGATACTCAGCTAAAAATAATACCTACTCTGTAACTACTGTTACTCTTAGAGGAACAGTGTTTGGGGGTCCTATCCCCTTTCGTCCCTGAGAGTCTCATCACAAAGTAACCGTGTGTCTGTGTGCTCTGTACCTGCCCTGATAGGATGAGTAGTGTTCCCTGTACCTCTCCAAAGAGTCCGAGGTTGGATGACAAGTTACAGCTACTCTGCTTACCGAAGTGTGCCTTCGGAAACAGGGAAAATGTTTGACTTGAGAGGAACTCTGTTAAGTACATTTTTAAAATATCCCTATGTTTTCTTTACCTTTTTAGATTGATGTAACTAGCTCATTTCTCAGTTCAGTCATATGTACTTACTCAGAGAAAAGTGTGCCGAAGGGATTCTTAAAACAGATAAAGCAAAAACCTTTACAAATTAAGGGATTTGGTTTACTTTCAAAACCCAGGAGGTAGATATGTAAATAAATTGTTTTTATTTGTCATTAATTCTTGCTTGGTATTTTACATCAGTGGCAAATTTCTTAGCTCTGATATCTTTGAGATACTACTATTCTAAGTCTTATGTCTTCTGTAACTGTTTCCTTTTTCAATTTTTTTTTATTTCAAAGATAAAAGAATGAAAAAATCTTGACAAATACACATACATTTTGAAAATGATTTGTTTATCTGAGTATCTAAATCGAGGGTATCAATATGTAATACAACAACCATTGTTAATTTCCTATCACCTTGTCTGAAATTCTGTACTGCTTGTATTGTTTTTGTGGTTTTTTTTCTTTAATTTGATTTGCCTCTCCCTTCCACTTTTCTCTTGTAGGTCTTCTTCCTCATGGTCTTATTCCTGTGCATCTGACCTGTAACCTTCCATGAGATCTTTGGGCTCACCCATTTTCTGAAGAATGGGCAAAGCCATTTGGACAAGTTGTGTCTGAATACGAGCAGAGGTAGGATTATCTAAGTGGGACATTTTTTTAGATGAACCTGAATACTTTCAACTGCATTACTAACAAGTATTTTATCAGTGGAAACGTTGACTATTTTCACATCATTATACCCCTTCAAAACTGTTATGGCATTTTATTATTCTTGTTTTAGTGTATACACTGCTGTTTTTCTTCATTGAAATTCATTTACTTACATTTCTAATGATATAGGAAATGTACTTAGGTTGTAATCTGTAGTAAATTCTGCTCTTCATATGAAATGTCGCTGAAGTTCTGTTTTGCTTTTGCCCTTTCCAGATCTGCTATCTGCACAGAAAATAGGATATTTATATTTAGTAATTTGGCTATGTGTAGTTCTGTAATTATTTCCCATGTGTGATTTGGGTTTGTCCAACTGTATTTCAACTTTATTCGGTGCAGAAACCACGTCTTTGCACATCTGTTGGATCTCTTACAGAACTGAGATCTTTGTTAAGTACAGTGAAAAATTTCATTAGCTTGACAAATCCTTCACCAAAGTTGTCAGCGATGTTTCTAATTCATGGACACAGAACATGTTTGAGTTATAATTCTTTTACTGCAGCTATGAGAAATCACTTCTATCTTACTTAGCAAAAAGTAGAAATACTGTCAAGATCTGTTGCAAAGTCTGAGGATTGCACGAAAGATTTAGGGAGCAAAAGAAATTCCTATTTTAGAAGCAGCAGAACCCAGTGCAGCCCTGGGGGTTCACCTAATTAATGTTCCTTGAAGACTCTTGATCTCATTGTTCTTCGGCTCAGGACTCAAATTCTGCAGCTAAGCTGGGGTCTTCCGCCCTTCTGGGTGGGAGGGGGCTGGGCTTTCGGGGCACTCTTGCCTTTGTGCTTGCAGCCAGTGAGTGGACGGAGACTGCAGACTTTGCACGTCTAAAGCCCGCCCCTTCGGTCAGCTGCTTCCAGCTCCACGTGGGGTACAGGCACACTGGTAGCACCATCAGCCCAGCACTGTCCCGCATTCGATCCCACTTTTATTTTACTTAGACTAGAAGATGACCATTTGTTTGTAGGTCCTTTTATGGCCATTCTGCAGTTAGAGACTTTAATTTATGGCTAAGCCTGTAGATCTCTGTGGCATCAGATAGAATTCTGCAGGGGTTAGAGGAGCGAGGGGCAGTGCAAAGCTGCTCTGGCTAGTAGCATGTTTTAATCTAGGGAAGATACCTTCGTACATGACCTGAAGCTTACAGTCGTCGTATTTTCAGGTTCATCTGCGTCAACTATTCACAGCAATATGCTCTCCTGTTACTTTTGCTAGGCAAATTTTAAAATTCAGATTTCTCCCATTTTCATGCTGCCTCTGTTGAGGCAACCTATCAGTTTCCAGGCAGTGCTAATTCATACCATACATATAGTCAAAGTTAGCTTCCTGGTAAACGTCAGTGAGAAATAGGATAGTATCCTCTAGTTTATTTGTGATACTATAGCAAAATACCAGAGACTAAATACTTTATTGAGAGTAGAAACTTATTTTCTCACAGTTCTGGATACTAGAATGTCCAAAATTAAGATACCAGCATCTAATGAGGGTCATTTTGCTGCATTATCTCATGGCAGAAAGTGGAAGAGCAAGAGACTGCAAGAGGGATCAGAGTCACTCTTTCTAGCGGCTCCCCCCACCTGATGATGTTTGAGTCTTCATGATGTGGTACCACCTAAGGGTCTCATTTCTTAGCAGTGTTACAAAGGCAGTTAAACTCCAACATGACTTTTATAGGAGACAAATACTCAAACCATAGTCATGCTGAATTCGTTATGTGATATACAGTAATATTATTGTTTTTCGCTTTAAACCTTAAAAATATTGTGGTAGATATAAAGCAGTAGCTTAGGAAATGAGGCTTCTGTTATTTTATTTCCTATCATAAGGCACTTCATTAAAAACTTTTATTAGCATTTAACCTTAAAATTTTATTAAAAAACTAACGAGATACCATAAATAATTGATTTAAGGTAACTTCTGCATTTTAAAATATGATTGCATCATATTAAAACTTACTGCTTTTTGTGGTAGGAGTTGATCTTTATAAGCAATATAGGACAAAAGTTAATGCTAACACTTACAGTGCAGTTATGCTATACATCCTGAACTCATTTGATATCTAGGATTTGCTATTTTAGTGATAACTATGGTGTGAGCATGACAAGCACATTAGGACCAGGACCTTGAGGCACGCGGTATTGGTCAGTCGGCTGAAGCTCGCCGCATGGACAGCCAAGTGGTTACACTGTGTAAAAGCACTGCAGTAGAACTGCTGAACCCCGGTGCTCAGGGCAAGGTTCTCGTGGGACAGTCCTCTGTGTGTGTCCTCACACCTCAGCGCCGTAGGATTAGCGCGTCCTGACTTGCTGTGCAGAGGACGGCGGAAGCTCCGTACTGGTGCTTGCCTAGGCTCCGCCTTCGTCCGCGGCAGGTTTCAGTCTGTGTCCTTTCCTGTGATAAACTGGAGCTGTGGGAATAGTAGATTTCCACAAGCTTTTAAGTCCTTCTGGCAAATGACTCACTGAAGCATGGTTTTGGACATCTCCACGGTGCTTCAGCGTGAGGGCGGGAGAGTGTGCACAGAGCCGGAGCGAGGCCCTCAGTTTGACCCCCAGCATAGAAAGATATACTTAGGTAAAGTGAGGGTGCTTAAGAACTACCTTTCCCGCTGCCTCATCTCCCAAGGAATTGTCTTATCCTCAGAGGAAGTCTGTTCTTTGTCTGTTCTTTTGTCAGAAAAATTAATTATGGATTCAGTTTTGGCATATTCATCACAGACTTCAGCCTCACATTTGTTATTTCCCAACTTTATTTCATAAAATACATATGTTTAAAGAAATACATATGTTTTAAAAAATCAGCTAATTAGGAAGTCTTTTATTTCTTTTAAAAATCTGCTTTATTAGTAAGTGTTATTAATAACTACAGAGAAAGAAAGGAAAAGAAAAAAGAGAGAAATTCTCACATATGGTAAAAGTTCAAGCAGTACAAAAGAAATTATCCATGGGAAAATAAATCCCCTATCTTCCTCTGCTGATGAAATCTTTTATATTTTTGAAAATCTTACACTTACGAATTTATTATTATTAAAGCGTCCCTTTCAGATTGATTGAGGGTCTTAAGGTTCTATTGTTTGTGTGTGAAAATTCACACTACACATTCACACACAGTTTCCTACTATTCTTAATTCCTTAGTGTTCTGTATCAATAATTAGTAGGTCTCATTTCCTTTTGCTTCTAATCTCTCTTTGTTACTTTTTATTATCCTTTTTTCATATACGCCAGCCATGCACATATCATTTTGGTTTGGTACCTCTTTTAGAAATACACATCTGTCTCTTACTGTATCTCCCCAATTAATGGTTTGAAATTCACTGCCTACTGTGTTATCCAGGCGGTGCCAGTTAGTATTAGGAGGGTCACATTTTGCAGAAGTACACTTCTTAGTTAAAGTCTCTCCAGTGTTTCCTATGCAGAGTTTACATTTGAGGGGTGTGTGTGTGTGTGTGTGTGTGTGTGTGTGTGTGTGTGTGTGGTCACTGACCTTTCAGAAATGACCTTTCTCTTTCAGAACCTTTCCAGAGTCTTGATATAATCTTTATTTAATGATTAGGTGAAAAATTAGGCACACATTTTTCATAATTCACTATGGAGACTTGAAGTAGATATTAATTATAAATAGAAAGATTTAGACTAATGAACTGTGTAATATTTAGAAAATAATCCACACTATGTAGGGGCCAAGATGATGCTAGTGAGAGTGTAATCTGAGTAAGTTAAAATACAGAATATCTGAAGAAATCCCTTTGAGAGCAGCTGTCATTTTCATTTGTATACCTTAGATTTTCCAAAGGTCCTAAGCAGTAGCTTAGGAAATGAACTGCATTAGTGCATGTCAGTTTAGTGCATTATAGGTGCATTTCCTTTTCTTTCTTCATGTTATTTGTTCAAGACAATCCTAGTAAAAAGGTTTTCAGACTGGAGATGTGCAGAGATCTTCATACAAACTATAACCCTCTTGAAATTTCTGAAACAAAATCAAGTTTTCTTGTCAGCAATGTTGTCCATGCCTGTAAATATTTAGATTATCAGTTGATTTATGGATTATGGCAACATCTTTCAATATGGTTCCTAATTCATCTCCAACCTTTAATAAAAAGCTACTAGTTGACAGAATCAAATGCTTATCCTGAAAGAGGTGCGGTAGGGCCCGGGCTGAGCGCTTTTCAGCCTGGGTGACTAATACTGCAGTTTGCATCCAGAGTGTTTCGCGCGGTTTCCGCAGGAGAAACAGCGGGCAAACAGACTTTCACACAGTGTGATCATCTCTGTGTGTTTACTCTCGCTTTTCCCTTCCTTTTACATGTAGCTGACGATCCAGGCCTACGAAATGCGTATCTTGCTGTAAATGTTGGAGAGACCAGGTCTGTCCGAGCTTCAGACCCGATTTCCTGTCAAGCATCCCCCTAAAGCTCCCTGCCTTGTAGAGGGAGATGGACTCACTCCCAGAAGTGCAGTGTGGGGTAGAGCAGCAGCCCATTAAAAAGGTGCTGTGCAGTGATAGTGTTTTACTTGTTTTCGTTTTAGAATACTGTTTTATGGCGTTCAATATTTTGTAGAATAGTAGTTAAGAGAGTTACTCCAGAGCTATGTTCTATGCTTTAGTTTGTAGCTTTGAGTATTTCTGTCGATGACTCTCTCCTCCTATGTGAGAGCGTACTTCAGTTTAAGAAGCACAAGGTTAAAACGTGTGAAGTAGGGAATCCGTACGGTTCATCAGACAAGCTTGTTTCTGCGGAACTTTGTCGAATTTGGTACGTTTTATTTGGAGAGTGAAGAGCATGCGGAGACCAGCTGAGCAGTTCCCAAATTTTACCATTCAACCTTCCCGTGCAGATCACTTACCAGCATCTAAGGAGTGAGTGTTCTGAGCAGCACGTTTTGTGGAAGCCTGGCCTATATTCATTATTTGTGTTTCG